ATTTTTCCTCTGAAAGTTCTCCACTGCCTTAACCAGGTATTGAACTAACCTTCTTTGGGTCTGTTACTGGATCTAACCAACGCCTTTATCCACTGTGCCATGTGTCCTTGAGTATTTTTTTTTCATTTTGAACATGAGATATTGTTATTTATTTTTTTTCTTATCTGTAGAAGCCAACATGGAGGAATCCCAAAACAATCGTAGTAATGATAACTTGAGAATCCAAAATTTCAGGATTGGGTCTGGATCTAGCCCGGAATGTTTTTAATTTGCTCACGGAGTCGGGTTGATTCCAAAATATGATATGTTGGGCTACGGCCTCTAGGAGTTGAGTTGACAAGGTGTGACACATTGATACATTGACATTCGCATTTATTCATATATATATATATATATATATATATATATATATATATATATATATATATGAATAAATGCGAATGTCAATGTATCAATATATATATATATATATATATATCTTTGATAATGGCATATATAAGCCGAACGATTAGATAGAGTTAAAAAACATGTATGAATATGGTGATTTTCTTTCATCTTTCAATGATAATATTATTAAGCTTATCAGACAATATGAAAGGAATTTACTTAAAATAAATAGACAAAACTTGTCTACATTATTTAATGATACATGTATCAATATATATATATGGACATAAATGTATCTCCCTAGCCATTACCTTACGATGAAGGGCTTATTATGTTCGAATATCCTTAAATTCATTGCTCGCATTGAAACATGAAGATGAGCAGTTGTTAATATGAATTCAATATCATGTAATATATTTATCTTTCTTAGAATTTTAGATGAATATTTGTTAATTTTCAATTCGTTTTGACGCCTGTATTCATTTTTTTGGGCTCCTCGACGTATGTTGATTTTTAATGTGGCTAGTTTTGATGGTAATTTGGTGATGAGGACTCCCCTCCCTCTGTTCGTCTTTAAATAACACAGCAAGAGTCGGAAAAACGGCCAGCCAACTTTCAGCGTTGGTTGGTTTCATTGGTTGACCACAAGTATCGAGTTGTATTCGATCCTGGTTCCCCATTTAAAATTCGATATCAAAATAATCCAGTAATTCTTCATATGCTGTAAAAAATCAACTAATTTTGATTTTCGTATAAGAATTTAGGCAGGACATTGTTGATTTTTTTTTTAAGCTTCTGCAGGAAAGATATCGGTAACAAGTTCCTCTCAGGAGCCATTATAAAATCATCGAATTAGATCCTCACTGTGTGCCGGATTACGAAATGGATTCTCAAAAAGGTTTTCACACATATTAGGAATACTAGGAAAAGAAAAATGAACTCTCAATAGTTGAGGCTTTGCATCCGATTAGAGAGAGAAGAGAAAGGAAGAAAAATACTAAGAAAATTAGTAATTGATATAAATAAGCAGAGAAAGAAAAAAAGAAAGATAGGAAGAAAAAAATTGACTAAGATTGATATAATCAAACCGGCAAAGAAAGAAAGAGAAAAAAGAAAGGCAGAAAGAAAGAAAAAATGGAGAAAAGAAAGAAGGAATGAACGGAAAAGAAAGAAAGAAATACATTGGCTAAGATTATTATAAATAAACTGAGAAAGACAGACAAAAAGAAAGAAAAGCATAGACTAAGATTAATATAAATAAACCAAGCAATCAAGAAAGAAAGAAAGAAAGAAAGAAAGAAAGAAGCAGAAATACAAAAAAGAAAAAAAAGCGAAGACAAATCGAAAAGATAAATAAAGAAGTGATAATTTCGAACAAAAGAAAGAGTAAAAGAAGAAGCGGGAAGGAAGGGAGAAGAAAGCAGAATAAAAAAGAAAAAGAAAACGAAGAAAGTATGAAAGGAAAAAAAGAAAGGAAAGAAAACACGAAGATAAGGTATACGAAAGAAAAAGAAATGAAGAGTGATATGTCTTATCTCTCTTCTCTTTTTTGTTCTTTAGTACACCTTCTTCATAAGAAATAATGATAGAAACTTTTCCTGCTGTGAAAAAGCGAAATAACATCTGGACGTTGTGCATTTCTTATTGGCACCAAACAGACGTACTTTTGATAATGACACACAGTCGAAATAAGAAGATTTTATGTAAACAAAATTAGTCGATATTTTCTCAAGTGACGACAAAGGGTGCCCAACATGTGAAAAAGCGTGCAGATGTGGTACATCATTCTAGCAGACTTCAGGAGATGACACATATGCATGTCAAGAAAAAAAGGCAGTAAAAAAAAAAACGGAATATGTTTAGGATGTATTATTGCTTAGGTATTATCACCTATTTTCTTCTTTAAACAAAGATGGCTGACAGGTTCAAAATGTCGATCTAATTCGGTTATATAACAAAGATTGAACAATATTTTTTTTCGATAGTGACTATTATGGAGACAGTAGGTAGGATTATGTATTTAATTTTGTTATGGTTGTTGGGATTATTATTATTTGTGGAGTTTTTTTTTATGTTTTGTATTTTTCTTCTGTGGATTTTGTATGCTTTGCGTTTTGCATAATTCAGAAAATAATGCGTGTATTGCATGAATTTTAAGATATTTACGATGTATTTATCTTCTTCGGGCAGGAATTGAGGTCTACAGATTCCAAGGGCTCTTAAATAAAAGCCTATGATTACTCAGGATTAATTTTATTGTTGTGGTGGGAGTAAAAGTGTATGAGGTCATCATGAATATTCTAATGTGTTCATATTAACATGAAGCCGAATTACACACAAAAAAGACTCTATAACGTATGTGTGTGTATGCATGCACAGGTATATGAGGTCATGTCGATCAGAAAAAGCGTTCAATTAGAACGCAGCAAAAACAGCATCATGTTTAAATTTAACAGAGTCTATCTTCTTCAATTACTTTAAAGTATTTTCATTAAAAAACATTATGAATTAATGCAGTTATTGATATAACAAAAGTAATCTGTATTTATTTAATCGAAGTTTGTCGAAAACAGGCAACATGAAGACCCACTTCAGACCACAATTATTTTGGAAGTTTTGAAATTCAGTTTGTCATTGTGCTACCAGGGATGTAAAAGAGGATACATATATAAAACAATTGTTCAGTCTGATGAAAATTGGTTGAAAGTTCAACGAAAAATAAGAAAGAAACCAGTAGAAATCACCATTTTTCGAAATTTACGCGGTTTTCACTATATGGGTGGAGTCCATTATCAAGTTAAATGACTGTTAAACAATAAAAAAATTGCTGGCTACAACTGAGTGAAGTTTGTATTAGAGTGCTTGAAAATTTAGTTTAGAATTTTTGTTCAAATCGATTTTTCGTTTTCGTGGTTTTTTGCTAAACGCAGTGGCGTAGAAATAAAAATGAGCTCGTCATGATGTAAGTAACCTACATATCGAGTTTGAACAAAATGGGATGAAGAAAGCTGTATTTATCGATTTTTTATCGACTTTATCAATTTTTGATTTTTTTAAATTATCGTTTTTTTCCCTAAGAAGCTATCTGTTACATAGTCCAATGTAGGTGCCAAATTTGGTCAAACTCGGTTGGATGGATCTCAAGGGAAAAGGTATCACACAGACAGACAGACAGACACACACACAGACATTCTCTGTTTTTTATATAGAGAGAGATACATTAGTGGTTGGGTATGTATATACACGTATATGTAAGTATGCATATTATAATGTAAAACAATCTCTAGTTTCGCTGGGCTGATTTAACAACAGCAAACGCCATTGATATAGATCAACGAACAAACAGGCGGACAGACACTCTTCTGTCTCGACATTGGAGGTAATAGGATATCTAATCTATTTAATTTGATTTACCTGTCCTCAGAGATCCCAAGGCTTTTTTGCTGATATGCAGTTTTGGTTTACTTTCATTCTAACATGAAATAAAAACATAAGAGAGCCGACGCTCGAGGCGAAACGCGGAGTTAATAAATTTTACACTATGTCGCATCATCTTCAATTTTCTTTCGGGATTACTATACCTCCGACAAAGACACACACACACACGTCACGCACGCCTGCGTGCGCGCACAAACACACACACACGCCACGCACGCCCCCTGCGCACACGTACAGACAGATGAGAAAATCTATGACAAAAGTATTCATCAGAAACGTTTCGTCCTATACGAATTCACCGGAGTAACGTGATCTTTACGGTGATGTGATTACACAGGCAGATGATGAAGAGAAGACGTTGAAATTTTAAATTTAAATTTGATAGTTTGATAATATATTTTTGGGGTATATAGTTTAGCCAAATTTTGTTTGTTTTTTTTTTGTTTTTTTGGAGGTGGTGTTTTTTTTTTGATTTTTGCTTCTGTTCCTTTAGTTATTAAGTATTGTTCATTGCGATAATAGAATTTCCAATTCGAACATTTCAGAGTGTTTGGATACCAATTGAGAAGAATCCAGAGGATTCGCAAAGTTTTGGACGATATATCCAGGCAATATCATGGCCTTCAAAGTCATATCGACTTTATTCCTCCATTCATCTTCTTACAGGCCATTAGCCTCAACACGAAGGCCTATATCAGGTGACTTGAAGAGGTAAGCCGGCCCTGGGTCAAAAGGGTGGCTGCTGGATGGCCCAATATCTGTCAACAGAACACTGCCCCATGCCACTCATGCATAAGAACCAGTCATGGCTGTCAGACAACTTTTGCGGCCAGTATCACCCTTACATCTGACTACATAACCCCTTAGACTTGATTATTATGTGTGGGACACAGTTGAGCGAGAGACCAACAAAACTCCTTGTAACAGCAAAGATGAACTGAACGCAAGGATTATGCCAGTATTCACCAAATTAAACAATTAAACCCTTTCAGAAGATTTGCAGGAGATTCCGAAGTCGTCTGGAGGCCGTGGTTATTGAATATTGAATAAGTATTTCAAGATATTTTTGCGTAATTTTTGAGTTTGAGCATGAAGCTGAATGTCATTAACCAGTTTACCGCAGCAATCCTGTTGACAGATATTAGGTCTTCCAGCCTCCACCCTCTTGGCAAAGTTTACGGCCATATCACTTTAAAACATTGGTTCTCGTACGATCACCGAAGTTAAGCAACATCGAACCTGGTTAATAGCCTAGACGGATGAGCGCTTGGGAATACCAGGTGCTGTAAGCCTAGATGTGTGCTTGGTATAATGCATAAAGTTTCGGAATTGGAAAGCGACTCTCCGATTTTCATATCCGGTTGGGTTTAATTTATCCACTTGCGTGCAACAACCATGGTAAATTGTTAAGATTTCTATCTGTAAATCATTATTATCTCCATAACAATTTTACGGTCCAAAACTATTACAGTGTAACCCGGATATAAGAGAATTGTCGGGACCAGAGAAGAAGTCTCTTATATCCGGGTTTCTTTTATATCCGGGTTTGGTCTATATGTATACATTAACACATTTGCTCTAATTTGGGACCAGAGAAAATCTCTCTTATATCCGGGTTTATCTCATATCCGGGTCTCTTATATCCGGGTTACACTGTATCTGGTTTTAAATAACCTGTACAGCTATAAAATAGACTAATCAATCAATTACTTGTGAAATGCTTTTCCAACTTCTTGTTTCCCTGTTAATGACTATATTCAAAAATTTCGGTGCAATATCAACCGTATTCTTCTCTCTTTGAATCGCGGGCCTTTTATTCCCCCCCTCCTCTCTCTCTCTCTCTCTCTCTCTCTCTCTCTCTCTCTCTCTTCAACGTTTCTTTTCTTTCACTCTCAGTAATTCCTTGCGTCTCCGTCATATGCATCTTGATTCCTTGGGGAACATTGGGCCGCAACAAGACATCTCCAACGGACATATTGTTGAGGAAATGAGAGTATGTCTATCACGTAACTTCTTCTGTGCCTCTTGATTCTTTGGGGAACATAAGGCCGCAACAACTCTCAAACGTACGCGGTTCCGGGCGATCCTTTTCAGCTTGGCCCATGTCGTGCCGCTGCCTTCACCTCTGCGACAACACTTCTCCGCCAAGTCTGTTTTGGTCGACCCACTTTTCGCTTCCCCTGTAGATCCCAGTCAACGGCCTGCCTGGTGACACTAGAAGCAGGATTGCGGAGTGTGTGGCTGATCCATCCCTATTTCCGTTTCTTGATGTCGATCTCGATTGGGGCTTGTCTGGTCATGTCCGACCTGATATTGACGATGTTCCTGAGACATCGGTGGGTAACTGCCTGAAGTTTGTGGATATTGTTCTTGGTTACCTTACAGGTTTCTGAGCCGTAAAGTTGGACCGACTTGACGTTGGTGTTGAAGATTCAGATCTTGTTATATCTGTTGATCTCCAGATTGACCGCAGAGTGTTGAAAGCGTGGCAGGGTTTGATCTCCGCACACCCATATTTACTAACGACGCTTCTCAGATAGACAAACTTATCAACTTCCTTGATGCATTCTTGACGTAATTGCACTGGGTCTTGTTGTCTGTTGTTTCCATACGTCACAGTGGCTTTAGCCCTTCCCTTAGTGGTGAAAAGATGAAAACAAAAAGGTAATGTATCCTTCTTTCCTGCTTCATAAGTAAATTCGATTCTTTATTCAATGTTGTTTATTATATTTCACGATCAGTTAATATAGCTTTGGCGATGATATATTAATAAAGCATAATCGATATATTGGAAATATATTGGTCCTTGTGGTGTACTTTTGAAAGGGCTAATTTCTAAAAATTCAAAGAAAAAATAATTTAAAAGGTGGAAAGAAAGGCCTAAAAATCGATATTAAAAAAAATAGAACCTCCGGTTGCCAGCAAAAGAAACAGTCCAAGATGCGACCTCTCAACTAGAGGTGGTAAAATCAAGCAAGTAAAAGAATTTAATCTTTTTTTAAATCGAAATCACCCCAAGACAAGACACAAGGGGTTACTGGGTGTGGAAGATTTAGAATATTACTAACAATCGAAAACAAAAAGTGTAATCAGGACAGTAGATAGCGTTTGAAATGGGTTATACAGGAATAATGTGTCACTACCGATACTTGTGTTTAAACACAGATCGCCAGTGAGAAAATACAGGCGATCCCATTATTGAATTAAGTAGATCACCTGACCATGGAGGAAACGCATTAGAATGTATCACGACGACTAACGATCGCCATTCTAGTCTATCCTCTATTACTAACGAATCGTCATTTCTAGACTATCGTCTATTACTAACGGATCGCCATTTTAGTCTATCCTCTATTACTAACGAATCGCCATTTCTAGTCTATCCTCTATTACTAACGAATCGCCATTTCTAGTCTATCCTCTATTACTAACGAATCGCAATTTCTAGTCTATTACTATACGGACCGCTGTTCTCTATACTATTCACAATACTATTTCTCTATTCGGATCACTATTCGGTGGTTACTGTTCGAGCGAGTATTATAGAGCATGTACTATTAATGCGAAATTATTCGAAGGTGTCAGATATCAGTATTGTTCAACAGCGTTACTATAGTTGTAATCTGCGATTACAAAGTCTCTACTACAACGAGCATTACGAAAGTGACAACGAGTATTCGTTGAATTTTTTTTTAAAGTGGCAACGAGTGCTCGTTGACATCACAAACAAATGGCATTTAAAATTTTGACCATTTAAGTTTTCTGGAAAGCATTGAGCCGGAAGTGAGTTCCATAAGCGAGAATTGCGACAAAAGAAAATATTGACATAGAACTTACGGTTATATATATCCAAATCAACTGTAATTTGATAAGATCTCAACGCCACTCTAGTACAGCGCTTAAATTTATATAAAACTAGCAGTATGGCCCGGCGTTGCCCGTGCTTGATTCAAAAATCGTACATACAGAAATCGCTATCACTTGACTTAAAATATTTTTGCCCTTCCTTGCCTTTAAAGGAGTGCCCTTCGCCGTGCTGATGTTGCTACATGCCTTACTTCTTGCCTATCTCACACTGCGAATTTTTTCTAAGCTCTATACTAAACATTACATCTGTTACGAAAAAAGAACTAAACAAAATGAACACAAAACGATCAGCTATAAAAAAAAGGACTCGTAACTGGAAAAACCGAATGAAAAAAGAATGTTAACAACAAATACTTTTTCACACCCAACCCAGTTCTGCGAAATCAGAATCAACGTTGAGTTTAAGCAAGCGAATGAGCTAATTGGAGTAAAGTGCCATGCAGATTTAAATTTTTCCGACTTGTGACGAATGCAGTAATCAATTTTTTTTGCATGCTAGCATGCTAGTTAACATTCGTGTCAGTCAGCTGTTGGCTCTCACGCTGGCCAATAAAACCATCCTGCCTATTCGTGGCAGCCAGCTATAGGCTCTCACTCTGGCCAGTAGAAAATGGCTGCAAACTACATGAAAACTGCCGTAGAAGCATGAAAAAGTCGATTATTTCCACTATCGATGGGAGTTGGGAAATGCAAAGTCGGTCTTGGCCTTTCTGCTAACTTGGAGCATGTCAATGTAAATTTTGGTGCACATCTGTCGAAAATTGCGGCCGTGCATTCGTTACACACACACACACACACACACATCCTGCCTTTTATAGATAGAGATAACTGTAGGTACCATAGCAAAGAGATTATCCGATTAAATAACATGAAAATATTTATAGAATAAGCACAAGCAAGTAACCTTACGGCGATGGGAAAGTGACTAAAGCCGAGAGACCAGATCAGGACCAATAATATTTTTGATTCTTCTGTGGATTTGAACAAAGATCTCAAGATATATAGCAGTAGCCCCAGACTTTGTGTGGCAGCAATATTCTATGCATGGACGAATGGCTGACTTATAGATATGTAGGATTGATACTGGATACAGAAAATTGTCCCACACAACTCAGTGAACCAACATTCTTAGCAGCTGACTTAATAATGATTTTATTATAGTCTTTCCACTTCATGTCAGCTAAGAAGATTAGCTAGAAAAGACGCAACGAGTCATTTTCCTGGCGGTAAGCTTCAGCCATTCTGATGGAAGGCGGAGAAGGATTTCTCAGATGATTAATGGAGAGACATCTGGAAAGTATTTTAAACAGATGACGGATGCCTTTCAATGGGGAAATAAAGTATTACAAACAGGGATACTTCGTGAGAAATGAAGAAAATCGTGCTGAATTGTTATGCAATAATAAGCCTCCATCAATCCCCCAGACAATTGCCTCACAAATGAAAAGACATGAGGCAGGGGTAGTGAGAATACCATGGAGAAATCATGTGAGAAACGGGGAAGTTTTGGTTTGGTTTGCTTTGGTTTATTTTACGGCATATCTGTATCAATGGGTTATTTAATGCTGACAAGATTTTTATTGTTGACAAGATTTAAAAAAATGTATTGCTGGTAATATTTTTTCCTTCAAAAATATATTGCTGGTAATAATGTATTGCTGGTAAGAGTTATTTACAAATCTATTGCTGGTAATAATTTTTTGTCAAAAAATGTATTTGATAATAGTTGGGTCCTAACAGGTGCTACCACCCCGGGTCAGAGATGACCTGGGAACGCCAGCAATTAAGAGTTGGTTTCACGCTCGTTAAAAACCCTGATCAGAGGCCTTGCTGTTGGATGTAGTTTATCATCTTACCCAGGAGGCGGACGTAGTTTATCGTCTTACCCAGGACGCGGATAGGGTTTATCATCTTACCCAGGACGCGGATGTAGTTTATCGTCATACCCAGGACGCGGATGTAGTTTATCATCTTACCCAGGATGCGGATGTAGTTTATCGTCTTACCCAGGACGCGGATGTAGTTTATCGTCATACCGAGGACGGAGGAAGTTTTAAGGAAAATCGGACAAAAGATGACAATTGTTATTAGAATAAGAAAGAATTTCCTACTCACAAAGCAAAGGGGACAAATGGAAACATCAAGTAACCTATTTAACAAGCTTGTGTAAATAGTTTATATAACACGGATTTGGAAGCATATTAAAAACACATCTTTCTAAGAGCTTCAAAGGTAGACATTTGTGGAGAGCCATGATTACCCACGTCCTGTATGGACATGGAACATACCATCCATACTCAGGTATAGTACCATTTTATACGATAAAAAATGAAAAAAAGAAATTTACGATTCAAAAAACAGGGGCTCGCACTATACTCAGTTAATTTTAAAAGTATGCATCTTTGGTGAACGGTTGCCCTGTAC